ACTAGTTGGCTAATTGCAAGGTCACTTTCCTTTAGGGGATGGCAGTGGTCTGTTGGGCAGCAGATTACTAGCCAGTACTAATCAGGGGATTCCTTTTTTTTTTTTTTTGACCGGTTTAAGATTCCATTTCTGGGAGAGCCAAAACTAATTGTTTTATTGACATGGGGCTTAGCATAAGTGACTCCATTAGGGGCCTCTTGTCCTGTTTTTAACAATATTTGAAGGACCTGAGTGAAGGCTATATGGAAATTATTTTTGGTAAGTCTGAAATTATTTCAAAATAAAAAGTTTAAAGCCTTCCACTGTCCTTCAGGAAAAACCCATCTCAACAGCCCTCACCCCTCTGGGGACCCCAATCAGCCTGAAATCCACTGTTTGCAGCCCTATGCCCTTATCACCCTAAATTCCCTTCTGCCTCAACAAAGTACTCCCACCACCACCCCTGTGCCTCCTACACTTCTGACTTCCACCACCACCACCCCAGTCTGTGCCTCGCTTGCTCTGTACCCAGGGCGATCCTCCAAGCTTCCCCCTCTTCAGGTCTAATCACAGTGAAGTTCAAGCACTAAATCGTGATCATGTAGAATTTGTCACACACAATGTTGGTCACTGCCTGTCTTTCTGTCCACACTATGAGGTAAGCATTCTCATCCCCAGTTCACAAGCAGGAAGATGATCCCAGAAATGGATGTGTTCCAGACAAGGCTAGAAGGAGGTAGGAGCTTGATTGGAGACAGACTTTTTTTTTTCAATTTTCATATTTCTTTATAGTAAGAGTCTTATAGCAGAACTGGACAGAGGTAAAGCCCTTATTTTAATACTTTAGTGATTATCTTAGATATTTGAGGTCAGAAATACACTTTTTATCTTTTTTTAAATTTTAAATTCAATTAACTAACATATAATGAATTTTCAGAGGTAGAGGTCAGGGACTCATCAGCCTTTTTTTTTTTTTAAGATTTTATTTATTCAAGCGAGACACAGAGAGAGAGGCAGAGACACAGGCAGAGGGAGAAACAGGCTCCCTGCGGGGAGTCCAATGTGGGACTCGATCCCAGGACCCCAGGATCACAACCTGTGCCAAAGGCAGACTCTCAACCGCTGAGCCACCCAGGCGTCCCTCATCAGTCTTATATAACACCCAGTGCTCACTACATCACCTGCCTTCCTTCATGCCCATCACCCAGTGACCCCATCCCCCCACCCCAATCCCCTCCAGCAGCCCTCAGTTTGTTTCCTATAATTAAGAGTCTCTTATGGTTTATCTCCCTCTCTGATTTCATCTTTTCTCTCTTCCCTTAATGATCCATTTTGTTTCTTAAATTCCACATGAGTGAGATCTCATGATAATTGTCTTTCTTTGATTGGCTTATTTCGCTTAGCATAATACCCTCCAGCTCCATCTACATCATTGCAAATGGCAAAATTTCATTTTTTTTGATGAATGAGTTATAATATTCCACTGTGTATATATCTACCACATCTCCTTTATCCATTCATCTGTCGATGGACATCTGGGCTCTTTCCACAGTTTGGCTATTGTGGACATTGCTGCTATAAACTTTGGGGTGCAGGTGCCCCTTCAGATCAATACATTTGTATCTTTGGGGTAAATTGCCAGCAGTGCAATTGCTGGGTCATAAGGAACTTCTTGAAGAACCTCCATACTCTTTTCCAGAGTGGCTGCACCAGCTTGCATTCCCACCAACAGTGCAAGAGGGTTCCCCTTTCTCCTCATCCTCGCCAACATCCGTCATTTCCTGACTTATTAATTTTAGCCATTCTGATGGGTGTGAGGTGGTATCTCATTGTGGTTTTGTGTTTCCCTGCTGCCAAAGAGTGATGTGGAGTATTTTCTCATGTGTCTGTTGGCCATGTGTAGATCTTCAGACTCTTAACTACCAAGCTACATGCTGCCCTACTGCGACTCATGCTCAGTGGTGTTTACTGGCTTTGGCAGAGCCGACTCTGCCAGGGCCCGGGGGAGGCACCCCACCAAAATGAGGATAGTGGTAATGAGGCCTTGAGTGAGGCCTTGGGACTACCTGGCCCAGGGGAAGCATTGTCACCTGTGAGCCAGCCTTCTTGTGGTTAATAGACTTTTTTCTCAAAACTGTTCCAGATTTAAGCACAGAGGTCCCATGTGCACTGCACCCAGGGTCCCATATGGTGACCCTCACATTCAGGGAGTATGTTTATTATAGTTAAGGAACCACTGTTGATTCACTGGTATTAACCTAAGTCTGCTTCCTAAGCTTTTACCTACGGTCTGGTTCTGCTCCAGGATCCCATCCAGGAGGCCACATTATGTTTATCGTCCATCGTTATTTTCCGTTAGTAACAGCCACATCCTGTCAATCGTCCTGATTGTCAGGAGAGCCCCACGAGGGGCTACAGTCTGTTTACCAGCCTGTTGCCCCCATCCATCTGCCTGCTTTCAGGGCAGGAACAGCATCACGGCCTCTGGGGCCTGCACAGATGCCCCAAAAACCCAGTTAGTGACCTAACCAGGCCTGCTGCCCACCCCCACAGTCCCTGCAGCTTCTGGTGGCCTGCAGGCGCCAATGCAGGCAGGAGGACCTCGAGAGCCAGCCTGGGCAGGGAGGGGATGATGAAGGACTTGGGGATGCCCAGCCTGGGCAGGGAGGAGGGGATGATGAAGGACTTGGAACCAGCCCTTCCACCTACCTGCAGCCTCCCCTGTACTAGAAGCCTCTGTCCTCTCCCCCTCCCAGCCAGGATCACTTGACCGAGTGGCATCAAGCCCCAGCTGGAAAGCAGGAAGTCGGGGTGAGGGGCAGCTTTTGGGGCAGCCCATCAGAGACCCTGACTAGGAGGGTGCCTTCCCTGGCCTTCAGGGCAGGAATTTCATCAGGAGCCGCTGGAGGCCAGGCAGGGCTCCTCGGGTGGGCCCCCCTTTGGCCCTAAAGTTTCCACTGGCCATCTCCCCCTTATAAGTCCTGGGCCTCACTGGTGGTGAGTGGGTGGGGACTATCATGGTTGCTGTGGGATATCTGATGGCAGGAGCCTCAGCCACAGCCTGGAATTGCTGTGTGGTGCTGTTGCTGACGGCCGCTATCTGCTTCAAGGTGGTAGATGAGTATAGCTGAAGCCTGGCCCCCACTTCCCTGGCCGGCAGTGGGGAGCTGGGATCCTTCCCCTGCAACAGGAACAAGAAGAGAGGCTTCTCAGCCCCCACTTGTCCCCATGCTAGGGAAGGGGAGAGAGGAAGGGGAGTTGCCAGCCTCAGTTTCCCTGGCCACTCAGGTAAGTGTGCACCGGCCATCTTACTGCAATGCAGGCCTTGATTCAGTAGGCCCCAGGCTCTGCACCTGTAACCGTGCTCAGCTGACGTCAGACCACTCTGAGTGGCAGGGCCCTGGCGGGCATGGCCTACTATGGAGAAAAGGGGGCGGGCTTCAAAGGGAGAATTTGAATCTGCAGCTTCTAAAACTTTGTGTTCTTGAACAACTGGCCTAACCTCTCTGAACCCCTGTTTCCTTATCTGTAAGATGGGGAAAATGACCCCAACCTTGCCAAGTCCAGGGGGATGCCTGCACCTACAGAGGCCCCAGGGCTCTGGGCTGAGATGGTGGGTGAGCACCCAGCCCAGTGACTGCAGCAACCAGTTAGCCTGGCAGATGGGTCACAAAATCCCACATCATACACATCCAGGAAAGCTCATGCTCGTGCCTTGGCAGGCTCATCCAGGATGAGGATAGCCCAGTTCACGAGAACCCAGCCCGGTGCCTGAGCCCCGACTAACCTTTTCTCTCCACTATTTTCCATTCCTGATTCCTATTGTGTGTTGTTCATGAGGCACCAGAGCTGGAAAGATCCTAAGACCAGCCCAAGCTGTTCTCTTACAGATGTAGAAACAGGCCCGGAAGGGAAGGTGCTTGCCCAAGGACACACAGGAAACCAGGAGCCAAGCTAAGGCTGAAGCTGGTGTTGCCTGCTCCGGAGTGGGGTTTCTCAGCGGATCTCATAGCCTCTGGCTTCACCCTTAAAGCTCCTGAAGCTTCCCTGCCATCTGTCTCTCCCCAGCCCCAGATGAACTTGGGAACCAATGTGAAGTAAGCAACTGCTCTGCCTGCTACCACTGGGTCACTGCCAAGCCCCTGGGACCTGCTGTCTTCTCTGCCTCCTGTGCTGCAAGAAGTGGGGATGGCTTATGCCCGGCGGGGGTGGGGGGGTGGGGGGGGAAGGGGGCAGCCCACAGCTGGGAGCCCGTTTGCCCAGGCACAGTGTCAGGCTGCAGAGGGAGCTCACAGCTGATTGCTGCTCTCCTCACACCTGCGTTTGGGCTGGAAGGTTGCGGGTGGGGGGAGGGGCAGGGGGAGGGGGTGGTTGCTGAATCCTGGGTGCAGGTACTTCCCAGGACCAGCCCACAATCCTAGTTCTCGGCCTGACCCCCAGCTGGTCTCTTGCTGCTGTTGCCTCTGCCTGGAATGCTGGGTGGACTCCCCTAGTTGCTCTCCTGGGTCCCCCTCTTCCCTACAGGACAGGCACTTCCACCTGAGGGTGTTCGTCGAAGTGGTCCTGCCCAATGGTCACGTTGCTGGAACACAAGAAGTCACTCTGATTTGTCCTAAACCTGGCCACGCCTGGACTCTGGACTCCTGCCTGGCACCATATGCATAAGCTTCTCCCTTTCCACCCCTCGTGCCCAGCCCCTCCACCCCACCCCAGGGCACAGCTTTGTCCACTCAGCCCCTGCCTTGCTGTCCCTCGGACCTGGACCCACCACCCAATCCCACCCAGGCTCAACCCCAGTGGGGCACCCTGGAACACAGGGGGTTGACAAGCTACCCTACGCAGGTACATAGGCCTCCTCTCTGAGTACATACTGTGTCTGGGCTTTCTGGAACGGCGAGTGACCCCTTCGCCCTTGACTGGGCTGAGGAAGCCAACTCCCTCCATGTCCGTGGAAGTCTCCTGCCCTGTGTGGCCATTTCCTATGTCCTCCCCATTCAGTCACTTCCCCAGGTCGGCATCCAATGCAGGACCAGTGTCAGGTGGCCTCCAGGCACATCCCCTGCAGAGTAAGGAGAGGTTCCAAGGAAGCCTGTCAGCAGGCTGATTGCTGCTATGACAACAGCAGAGGTTCCCCGTTACTATGGTAACATAGGTATAGCTCTCCACACCTGAATCCTGAAGGGTAGGAGGGCTTCCCCCCAGCCCCTCCCCTAGCGCTGCAGCTGTGTCCCTCACACCTGTTTTTAGGAGAGCCTGAGCCCCAAAATGGCTGCAAAGGGGACCTCTGGATGGGGTCCAGAGGAACTGGACGTCCCGGGAACCAGAAACAAATCTGTCTTTACATGCAGTCCTGTATCTTCAATCTACAACATCACAGTTGTTGGGTTTTTTTTTTTTTTTAAGGTTTGTTTTGTTTTGTCTTAGTAATCTCTACACCCAACCTGGGGCTCGAACTCATGCCCCCAAGACCAAGAGTCCCACGCTCTTCCAACTGAGCCAACCCAAGGCCCCTGGAACAGTCCAGTTTAGAGATAAAATCCTACTTCTTTAGTTCATTTTTGTTGTCATGAGGAGAAAACCTGGTCCATCGAGGGGTTACTAGAGCCAACGCCGGCACAAAGAGCAAGGAAGAGAACCCAGATCTCCGAAGTCCCAGGGCACTTCAATACTGTGGCCCAGCCTGCCCCCCGTGTCTGTGCTGCATGAACACTAACCCCGAGGGCCCGATAGGCCTCTTTGATATGCCTTTGTCCCAGCAACTGTCCAGTGCTTCACTGGACAGTTAGAGCAGGACAAAGTGGCCACTTTGTCCTGGCGGTATCCCAAGAAACAGCCTTGGCACATGGGATCACGCTGGCCCATATCCACATGCTCTAGACCCCCTCCAGCTGCTCCCAGACTGGAGCTGGGGTCTTTCGTGTTCTTCCACTTCCTGCTTATCCACTGTGGGACCACAGTCCAGGTAGGAGGGGGTGGCCACGGGCTGGCACCCAGGACCTCCCCCTGGGAGGGCCTCACCCAGCTGTCATCCCCCCCCCAGGTGGCTGGCAACCAGCTTGTCCTTGAGAACCAGCTGGTGTCTGACCTTGATGTCTGAATGGGCCACAGGGCTCCATCATGCAGGATGGCACCTTCTGTGAGGGGGAGCAGAGAACAGGCCACGCTGTGGGCCTGGGTGTGAAGGGGGCACAGGTGAGTTTAGGACAGGTTTTGGAGCCATCTGAGCTGGGGTCCAAACTCTGTTAGCTGCTGTGTGGTCTCAAGAGAGCCCTTGGGCACTTCCCTGGCCTCCCCTACCAGACAGGGGGAATGGCCCTGCCTCAGGACTGATGTGGGGGGGGGGCTGCCCACACCTGGCAGGCAGAAGCTACCACAGTGGGAGAGTAAGCTGGGGTCCTCAGGACCATTTGCCTTCGTCCCTCCAAGAACCATGCTCAGAAACTAAGCCACAAGCATCCCCCTCAAGGCCCATGGAAAAAGCGGAGGCTGTGAGTGTGGTTGTAGCTGCCTCTTCCTTTCAGAGGTCACGAAGCCACAGATGAGGCAGGAGATACCTGGGCGGAAGCTCTCTGGGGCTGTGCTGGAAGCAGGAGCTGAGGGAGGGCCTCTGGTGGAAAGGGGTCCCTGGGACCTGCAGACTGTGGTGGCAGGAGCACCCCAGTACCTAGGATGCCACTGGGGTTGCCCCAAGGGCACCTGTGCTTGTCCCACCTGCCTTTGGAGTACAGGGGCCCCAGCACCAACTCTTATCTGCTCACCCTGTCAGGTAGACCTAATACTTTTGTATGAAAAAAGTCCTGTGTGACCCCAGCTGGGTGCCAAGGTGTCTTTCTCCCCACCTACCTGCCACGAGGGCCAGGTGGGTTGCCCGTGTGCCAGCCCAGATGTCTTTTGCTTTAAAATCCTAAGTGCCTACAGGCCAGGGGGTGGGAAGGATGCACCTGCTGTGCTGTAGACCCTGGGATTTATGAGCTGGGGGAGCTAGCCAAAACTGAACTCGGCCCCAGGGCTGCCCAGGGAAGGAGCGTGACGGGATATCTGCTGTAGCTGGTAGGGGTAAGCGGACAGCTCCTCGGACCAGGCCTTCAGGTGCATGCCAGGCCCAGTCTCTAGCTGCAGGGTGTCTTCCCCATGGACCCCCTCTCAGGTAAAGGGAGAGCGCTTAGGAGCCAGAGGTAAAGGTCGACGGGGATAGTATGAGGTCAGCTTCCCAAGCAGAACACGGTGTGCTGGGCATGGCCCTGCACTTGAGAGTGTGTGGCATCACGTAGGCTAGCAGGCAACCCCAGTCCCCATGGCACCCCACCCACCACTGCAAGGACGGTGACACCACAGGGCGCTGTCTGACCAGCCTGAGCTGTCCTGGGCCACGACATGGGCAGGGGTGTGGGGTCCCGTAGCGTGGGCTCAGTGGTGCCAGACCATGCCCTGTTCATTGCATCCATGGAGCGGGTGTCCAGCTTGCCAAGCAAAGAGATCCTGATGCTGTGTCTCCTCCTCCCCCCGCCCCACCCCTGCGTACTCTGGCCCTTGACCTCAGGCTTCACCTGTGCTGCATCTTCAATGCCAGTGGCTTACTGCTGCTCCAGGTGTCCATCTTTCCACGGCCCCCACCAGCCCCCGTGTCACCATCCGGCCCCTGTGGCTCCAGCTCCAATCACCAAGGGTACGGGGTCCCTAGGCCTTCTGTGCTGGCCCTGCTCCCCCACACTCAGCCCACGGAGGTTTATAGGCCCCTCGCCCTACAGATGAGACTTTCTGCTCCTACTAAGAGGAAAGGGACTACCCCAACATTAGGCTGCCCTGCAAGCCTGTCCCTGTGGGAGTCTGGCTCCTGAGAGCACAGACCCCAGTCTGGTCCTGCTGCTGCACCAGTGCTGGGCCTCTGCCGGTGCCTGCCCCTTCCAGCAGCCTCAGTGGCCCATCCTATCAGACAGATGAGTGGCAGGGGATGTTTCTGCTGCCCCAGGGTGTCACTCCACCTACCTCCCCGATTCCCCTGCTGCCTACTTGGCCACTTTCTTTCCCAGGTGTCCTTTTGACAGGAACAGCTACAGGACCCAAGTGGTACCCTTGGACAGGGCAGAGGTGTCCTTCTCCTCCCACTGCCAGTGCTGCACTGTGACCACCTTCGCCCTCCCAGACCCTGGTTCCCAGAGGACCCTCAGGAGATGTAAGAAACCCCGCGTGCCTCTTCCTGCCTATTCCCCATCTGTTCCGTGTCAGCTGGTTCCCAAAGCTCTCCAGCATTCTGAGACCTGTAGCTGACCCAGCTCCCCAGATGGGGCTTCGTGGGGGATGCTCAGCCCAGAGGCAACCCATAAAGCATTGAGAAGGAGGAAGGAAAGTGGATGCCACCGACCCTAAATCTGAATCCTGGCCACAGTGTTCTAGAGTGACTTTGCTTCTGACTCTAGAAACAGTGTGTTTGACGTAAATCTCTTCTGAAAATTTATAATCCAGCAGCTTCTCTGGTGGGTAAACAAACTTAGGGTATATATTTAGATTTTCTACAGAACACACAAACAGGCCACCAGCTACCCTATAACTTGGTCCACTGAGCAGTACCTCTCTCTCCTATTACTACACACAGACCTCTGTACTCTGATATAGCTGCACATTATCATACCAGATGTGGGCAGACTTCACAGGTTAGCACTGGTAGGGGGGCTTAACTCTATCTCTCTCTCTACTGGGCTCTCCTGGAGCCCGCAGACCCCCCACTTGCTGGACAGAGGCACATCTGTTGGCTGGGCCTCCAGGGGCTGAGTCAGCCCCACCCATTCCTCCTGCTTCTGCCCCTTCGGGGAGCTGCCCCTGGCCTTGTTTCTGGAAGCAGGGACAACCTGTCCCCTGTCCTCCGCTCCATGTGTCCCTGCAGCCCTGTGAAGTCCCGCCTCCTGAGAGACCAGAACTCCTGGGATTTGTGGGGGGCTCTGCAGTTAGGTGAGCATTGGTGGAGCACACAAAGGCTGGGGCTCCACCATGTGCAGTGTTGCTGCCTGCCAGGAACTCTTCTGCAGACCCGAGCCATCAGGAAGGAGGAAAGCAGGTTCCACGTGGTGAGGCAACACCTGTTGGGTCTGAGCCTCAGCAGGAGGGCCTGCAGTCTTCACACTGGTCCACGTAGCCAGGCCTCAACCTGCCTGCTTGGCTGGACTTGGCCTAGGTCCTGGGTCCCTGCCCTGGTGCTTCCTCCAGTGGGTCACAGCCAGCCCCGTGCCCTGAGCTTCTCTTCCCACCAGGTTTACTTCTGCAGCCCCTCAGACTGCTCCTGCTCAGGTCTGGAGACCTGGTCCATGATGTGCTGCTTGGGGCCTGCAAGTGAGTCTAGGGAAAGGACCCTGGAGAGGGTCTTCATTCCTATGTCTGCAGGCCTGTTCCTGGCTTCTGGGAAACCAGGGGCTGCAGACTAGCCCCAGAAGCACAGGGCCACGACAATCCTATGCTCCCTGTGGCAACGCTATAAGGCCCCAGAGCCTCGTGAGCTCTACAGACCCAGTGAGCCTTGAGGGTTCCTACAGGCAGGAGCCTCTACCATGGCCCACAGGTGCCAGGGCTGTGTGCTGCCAGGGGACACTCAGCCATAGCGCAGACCAGAGGTGGTATAACAGCAGTCAGCAGGGAACTAAGCGAAGAGATGCAGTCCGCCTTATCTGCGGCAGGGCAGCTGTCAGCTCTGCGGGTGTGATCACCAAGGTCCAGCGGCACAGAGACTGCTGGAGAGGCCTCACTCTGCCTTGCAAGCCCTCAAACCCCCTCTCTCCTGCAGGCTCCTCCAGGAATGCCAACCAGGGGCCTCTCCCCTGGGTGGTCCTCCTGCTGGTGGCTGTTGCCCTGGTCCTAGGGGTTGGCATTTCCGTGGGCCTAAGCCAGGCCAAGCCCAGAAGCTCCAGGAAGGCCAGAGAGGTGAATAAAATAAATAAACCATAATCTCAAGCCTACTGAGCATGTGTGACAAGGCCTTGACGCTGTGCCTTGACCCTGTGTGGGGGTTCCTGGGCTCTGGCCTGCTCCATCTTTTTGGTCTTTAGGATATTGATCCTCTATGGAGACTCCCAAGCCAGGTTGCTTCATGACAACCCTGGCTCTGGCTCTTACTGGCTGTGTGATATTGTGTTACTGAACTTTCTGGGCCTGTTTCCTCATCTGTAAAATGGGGGTAATACCCACCCCCACAGGGGTGTTGGATAAAAGAAACTAACAAGAATCCTTAGAATGGTATATAACAGCCAGCATTTACTGAGTGCTATTTATTAGAATTTTTTCCCCTGCCCCAAACTTAATGCTTACTTTTTTGTTTTGTTTTAATATGAAGACCAGTTTATAGCCCAGATAAAGAGGGGCTGGGGAAGTGCTGCCTGTTAGGCTTTTCTAGTGGAGGCAGCAGAATAGAACACTCGGCCAGAAGATCCAGACACTTGCTCTGGAGGTTAGCTGTGTAGCTTCCCTTATCTGGGCCCATCTTCCCATCTGTGACTAGGGAGAGCCAGTTCTGTTCACTTTCTTGGCTCGGAAGGGAGGGGAGCTCAGGCTGTACTCCTCAGGGCTCGTGTGAAATCATGATGGTTCTGAGCTTGGTGGTGGTTGGAGGAGCCAGGCTGGCTTGCTCCAGGTGAGGTCAGGGAGCTGGTTCTTCTGACCAGCCCCAACTCTTCTTCTTACCAGCGCCTTCAGCATCCAAGCCCACGTAAGCATCTGGAGCAGCGTGGGAGGGCAGTTCTATGAATTGTGCCCATGCTGTGTTTGAACAAAGTGTGATTGTACAGATACCAAATGGAATCACATTATGTAACTAACTTATCTCCGGGGTTTGTTTTTCTACCACAAAGGTAGACATCTTGTATTATTTCCTATCACTTTTAATAGACGCCTTCTCATCCATGTTGCGGTTAAACCGTGATGTGTTTTACCTCCCTTTGATGGAAACCAAATCTATTATTGGTGCTTAACACAGCTTATCCTCACTTAAGCATGTAAATTCTTTGTACATTATCTTCTCAGAAGAAGCTTGTAGAAGGGGTACAGTTTGGTCCAGCAGTCCTGTAGGGCTCTATAGGAGCACAGGGTGCTGGTTCCCTACCCCTCAGCCTTGCCATCACAGATCAGTATCGTGCTAATAAAGCTTTGCCACATGAGTGTCCTAAGCCAAATAGCATTGCTGATCTAAACTATACCTTTGGGGGTACCTGACTGGCTCAGTGGGTGGGGCATGAACACGATCGCAGGATTGGGAGTTCGACCCACTTTGGGTGTAGAGATTACTTAAAATCTTCAAAAAATAAAGCTACTCTCTTAAATAACATACCTCTTTGATTAGAAGACAAGCATCTTTATAGCCACTTGGGTCTTGTAAACTGCCTCTTTGTGTCTCTTATCTGCTCCCCTGATCACTCTCTGTTTGCAGAGAGCTCTCCCAAGTCCGGGGGGCAGCATCTTCATCTTACGGATTTCCTGCCAAATCAGCCTTCCACCTTTTCTTCTGTGGAGCTCTTCCATCTTGTTGTTCCAGAGGATTATGCAGCCATAATTTTCCCTCACACTGTTATCTGTGAATATGGCAAACACCATATTACCCTACATAATTACAAAAGTATCCATTTGCTTTTTGCTACTGACATGGTAGTTCAGGGGTTTCTCTCCTACTATCAAGTGTACACAGGTAAAGAATTTTAAGAACGTTGGTAATCAGTCCTTGTACACAGATTTTATAAATACTTCTATGTCTGAGGGTTCTGTTTACAGAAACAAATGTCCAAAATATATGAACAGTGAGGGTCATTGCAGCTGTAGGTCCCCTTGCTCTCCCTGGAGACAACCATCTCAGCTTTGACTTTCCTAGATCACAAAATCTAGTCCAAATTTTGCCCAGTGTAAAACTTCTTCCCTCCCCTAAGCTACCTCCTAACTCAAGCAGGAACCTGAGCCTTCAGAAAAGTTGGGTCAGGCCTGATGGGGATGATAACAAACCATTTGTGCCGACCTTTGGCAGGAAGCAGAGCTGCTTAGGGGCCTCTCAGGTTTGCACTCTTCCTGCCCTTCTGGGGAGGAGAGGTAAGGGCTGTGGCTGCAGTGAGGGTAGGACCTGAAGGACTCCCCTACCACTCCACCTACCCCTGCGCTCCCTCGCACTTACATTATGGCTGAGATCAGGTCCACCTACTTTGCCTGCAAGGAAGGGGGAGAACACTTCACAGCCTGTTACTTCAGCTCTGGTAAAAATTTGACTCCCTAAAGTGTGGCCGCATGCCCAAGTAGCTCTGTAAGGACATCTCCTATAAAAATGCCACTTCTATTCCAGCAGCAGGAAGACTACATGCCTGGATCAATCTTCAGAAGTAAACTAAAATGCCATATTATATACACACTTTAAAAACATGTTTAAATCATTGCTGAGCAGTACGGGGATTGGGGGCAGGGGGAAGCTTGCACAGAGGCCAAAAATAAAGTCTGAGAAATAAAACCAGCTTCTATTCTGGGCCTTCTGCAGAACCCTGGCGACCTTGACCTTCTGGTTTAATGAGGGACTACAGGTCAAGCCCAGAGCCTACCAAAGGTGGGGACTCCAGATCTGGGCACGCTATGGAAGCTGGGGCTTCAGAGGGCAAGAGTGATGGAGAAACAAGCCCACTGCACAGAGAGGGGCAGTAAGGGGTCTTGCCTATCATGATCTCTGTGCTGGATAGTTTGAAACAACAAAAAGCACTCCCCCGAGAATTACAAATCCTTCTTCTCTGGTGTGTGTGGTCCAAATTCTTAGACTGGGGCAGAGGTGGGAATGCTCAAACTTTCAATCAGAGAAAGCTCCATGGCTGAGCTTGAAGTGATCCCTGGGCTTCAGGCAGGAGCAAATGCAAATCCTGCCTGAAAAAAATGTGATTTCAAACAATCTCAAAGAATTCTCATAGTCACAATAAAATCAGCACTTTACAAACCAAAATCATAAGACACTATGGAATGAAAAGATAAAGCACAAACTGGGAAGACAGTTGCAACACCCGGACAAAGGATTGGTATTAAAAAAAAAAAGTATATGTATAGATCTGCATGTATACAACTACAAATCAATAAGAAAAAGACAAGCCAGGGGACCTGGGTGGATCAGTCAGTTAAGCTTTGCCTTCTGCTCAGGTCATGGTCCCAAGGTCCTGGGGTCGAACCCCATGTTGGACACCCGGCTCAGCAGGGAGCCTGCCTTTCCCTCTTTGTCTGCCTCTAGCCCTGCTCATGCTCTCTCTCTCTCTCTCAAATAAATAAAATCTTGGGGCGGGGGGGGGGGTGGAGACAAGTCAAATAACAAAGCAGGCAATTTGTGAAAGATAAATTGCCTAGATGTGGATGAAGACGTTCAACCTTGTTAGTAATCATGGATATGAAAATTAAACTTCAGGTAGCATTATATACCCACCAGACTAGCAACAATTTAAAAAGTCAGCAAATACTAAGGGCTAGTAAAGGGTATTAAAGACAGGAATGCTCATCCACATGGTAAATCACAGTATAGACTGATACAACCATGTTAGTAAAGAGCTTCTCATTACCTATAGTATTATCTGTAAAATAACTCCCCTCCTAAGTTAATATCCTGGGAAAAAACACTGCTCCAGAATGTTCACAGGAATGTTATTATTTTTTTTGTAAGTTTTTTTTTTTTTTTTAATTTATGATAGTCACAGAGAGAGAGAGAGGCAGAGACACAGGCAGAGGGAGAAGCAGGCTCCATGCACCGGGAGCCCGATGTGGGATTCGACCCCGGGTCTCCAGGATCACGCCCTGGGCCAAAGGCAGACGCCAAACCGCTGCGCCACCCAGGGATCCCAATGTTGTTTATTATTGAAAAATTAGAAATAATCTGTAGGTCTGTTAACAATAGGACATATCAATGCATTGTGGTATACTCCTAGGATGGAACCTCACAACCAATGAGGGAAGGGTTAATTAACCTGTTTGGATTTATCACTTGCAGGCTGGCCTCCCCAAACAGGGGGCTGGCCTCTGACAAGGCTCCTCAGAGTCCAGCTATTCCCAAGTGCCCAAGGCACTGATGAATCACAAAGCTTGGACCTCAGCCCCCTAATTAGGTCAGAAGGGGCTGGTGCTCCTCCAAGCAAGAATGTCAAACAGCTCCAAGAGCACAAGTTGGACATAAATCCAGGACTGTATCCGGGAGAAGCGTTGGTGCAGCCACCCCAGCAAAAGATGAACTAGCAGATTACGGCTGGAACCAAGGTGCAGACACAGCACACTCACTGTACCCCTTCCCCTGGTGACAATGGCAGAGCTGTGCCTCATGACCACACAGCCTGACGGCACCACAGCACCAGGTCGGGCACCCCAGCCCAGAGCACATTCCCCTCGGGTGAATGGGCCACACAGGATCCACACCTCCATCTCCAAGGGGCACTGTTCCAGTAGCCTGCTGGACGTCCCATTGGGCCCCTCCTTTGCCCAACAGTGGATGAACCATTACCACGTGTCAACACAGGTAAATCTCAAGAACAATGTTAAGCAAATGAAGGGAAAGCCAGCTGCATGATTTCATGTATATAAAGTTCCAGAGTAAGTAACCCCCCCCCCCCAACACACACACAATATAGTGGTGAAACTACAAAAAGAAAAGAAAGGAATGATCCACTCCAATCCCAGGGTAGGAGTTTCCTCTGCGTTTGTGAAAGAACACAGAGGGCCCATAATACTGTCCTTCTGGGTGTTGGATATAAGGGTGTTTAGTATTCTTTAAATTGAAAAGGTATGCTTGAGACACTTTTGAACCAATATCTCACAATAAGAAACTTTAAAAATGTTAAAGACCTGTTCCCATTGAGGAAACATGCTGCTAGTTGAGATCTGCAACCTTCTAATCTAAAAACAAGCTGCTGGGCACTTCTCCAAATGACTTGCCCTCCCCACCACCCATCCTCCACATTGTTCTCCCCTCCCGGCCTTCAAGCAGCCAGGCAGTGGGGCTGCGGCAGCCCCTTCTTCACCAGCCACTCTGCACCTCGGCTCTTGGCCCACCTCTCCGCAATGTGCCGGTCACCTCTCCCCAGACCTACCTGACATGCAGCTACACACCCCTTCCTGCACATCTGCACCCCTCTCAGAACTAATCCTGTGGTCGTAGCCATCTGCACACCACCACCTCCCTGACTGGCCTATGTTCTGGTCACTCTGCATCAGTGGAGCCTTCATTCTGGTAACACAAGTGTTGAGCATCAGCGGCTGTGACCCATAGAGCGTCACTGGATGCCAGTGCAGACAAAAGCAGGGGAGACAGTAGCCAACACTGTGTGCTCTCCACATATGTCGGCTTGCTTAACCCTCAGCAGCCCTGTGAAGCAGGCACCCATTGGTTAGGTTTTCAGATGCAGAAATTGAGATACTATGTGGTCGTAGAGAACTGCTGAGCTGGGATCCAAACTTGGTGTCTGACTCCAGAGTGCACTTAACCACAACTCTACACTAGGAAACTGCGCAGAGGGTTGTTAGCTCCCACTGTCTTCCCAGAGGACAGGGTAGTCAGTTTGGTCTCTGAAGCTGCATGGCTTAAAATCGCAGCTCCATTACTTCCTGGGTGGCCTGAAGCCAAGGCACTCGGAGTTTCTTTCCCATCTGTAGAATGGGGTAACAGCCCCTGCTGGCACAGCTGTCCTGATACGGAGCAGTCCTGGAGCTGGGTTGGCGGAGAGACTGATGTAACCGCAGTGCCCCCAGGTGGCCGCCCTGCTCAGTGCCCTGAGGCCATGCAGCCTTCAACAGTGGAGGGACAAGGAGTTTGGACCCCAGGCCCCAGACACAAGCCCAGGCATGAACGGTCTCAGGGCTCAAGTTCATGTAGGATGCAGTAAGTATTGATTACACCCCCAAACAATTTCCCTTCAGATCCCTAGAACTACTCCTAGACCCTAAATAGAAAACTCATGAGCCTGACAATACGGTTCCAGAAAAGGCAAGCCCTCTGAGAATCCACCAAACCCCAATCCACCCACTGAAGACAGGCCTTACTGCCAAAGTTTCACCCACACGGCGGCTGAGCCCAGGCTGGAGAGGTGGCAGCTCTCCATTCCGTTATGGTCAAAATAACCAAGACTGTCAACCCCTGCTCTTGTGTCCCGAGATAGAGCCCAGGTTGAATCTGAATCTGTCTGCCCCTTAGCAGCAACCTGACATAAGGTCAAAAGGGGGGAAAAAGACAGCACTGAGTACACGACCCCGCCCTTGAAATGAAAATCTAGCTGAAAGAGACAAATGCATAAATACCTCCAAAATCATAGTTCTGCTAGAGCTGGGAACCGTGGCCAAGGGAGGTCACTCACCTGCCAGGGCAGGGATGGGCAGCAGTGGCTTCCTGGAGTGAGCCCATCTTTAGGGAGGGAGAATCCGGGGAGAGCAAACAGTGTAGCAGGACAGAAATAGCTGTCATGGTAAAAGCAGCAGCAGTGTAGTAGCACAAGTACTGGTAAAAACAGTGACAGTGCTAACAGTGGTGCTAGCAGGAGTAGAAGCCATACAGCTGACTCTCGAACACCCCCAAGCAGATGAAAATATATGTATGACTTTTGACTTCCCCAAAATGTAACTAGTAATAGTCCAATAGCCAGAAGCCTTACTGATAATGTCTACAGGTGATAAAGATATATGTGTGCACGTGCCATATACTGTCGTCTGACAATAACGTAATCTCAGAAGAAAATGTTATTCAGAAAATCTTAGGAGAAAATACACTCAGTACTGATTTATTGAAGAAAAAAAAAAAAACAAAAAACAAAAAACCTATGCGTAAGTAGACCTGCACAGTTCCAGCCTGAGTTGTTCAAGGGTCAGTTGCAGTAGTAGTGAAAGGGTGAGGAGGAGGAGGAGGAGGAGGAGGAGGAACAGTGGTAGGGGGGCAACAGCAGAAGTGGTACCAGCAGAAGTGGTAGCTGTATCAGTGGTGGTAGCAGTAGGAATGTGAGCATAAGTGGTAACAGGAGTGGTAGCATCACTCCCTTAACGGTGGAACAGCAGTAGGGGGTGGAGTAGCAGGAAGGGTGGCAGCACGAGGAGGGGCAGCAGTAGTGGGGGCAGGAGTAGCAGCTGGTGGCAGCAGCTGGCACAATATACACAGCACATATCATGTGCACCCAGCAGTCTACAAACTTATCTAGGGACTAACTCATCTAAGCCTTACAATACCCCAAGTACAGTATCCTCAACTTCTGAAGAAACGAGAACAGAGAGAAGTCAAATAATATGGCCAAGGGCCCCAGCCTAAAGAGTGCCATAGCTGGGATTCCTCGTTCCTGCCTCACTCCTGCCTCACAGCCCAGAATGCAGGGGAGGGGGAGGGCCATGGTCCTTCCCAGGAAGCTGCTCAGCTGGACAGCTAAAAACAAAGTTGTTTCAAGAGTAAAATGAGAGAATGTACATAGAGTGTCCAGCACACAGCTGATATGAGTGCACAGATGGCAGGACAGAGTGAAAGCACTTTAGGACTTCTAACGCCAACGTGAGGCTTCCAGGGCCAAGAGAGCAGGGCCATGCCCCAGTTCCAGGGCAGTGGTTTGAAATAGGGTGGGACAGGATGGTGGTCCCTTTGAGATGAGATGTATTCCTAGCCCCTCCCCTGTCAAAAAACTGCACGTAAGCATGGAGAGGACACACGCTTCATACCACAGCCCCTCCCAACCCACAGATCCCCTGAGAACCTCCCTCTTTCTCTTTAGCAGTTTTCCTGGAAATGAAACCAGCCTAACAACACATATTCACATCCAGCCAAGAACCAGCCAAATGGCTAGGTGCTGGGCTAGCTCAGAGGTCCAGTCTGCCCTTCCCCCACCTTGGGAGAGGCCGCTCTACCACCAGCAAACCATAGCTCCATCCCTTCCTCCTTTTGAAGTGTAACTGCATGACGGCTCTTTTCTTAAAAAGGGCCAACCCCACACATTTCAAATCAGTATACTCAAAATTGGCCTTACTTGGGCCAATGTGGGAAAACCTCTAGGTATTCCAAACGCCGCCTCGTCACTCCCCTCCTGGGTGTCCTGCGGTAACTGACCTGAACAAACAAGAGGCTGGCACTCCAAGGTGCCCCTGCAGCGGCTGTCTGCAACAGCTACAACTTTGGCGTGTGTTCCAAAGGCCAGTTCCCCTGATGATCACAGATAAACACGCACAAAGGCTATCCTAGTCAGATGTCTGTGGAAACTGGGTTCAAATGTTACAGGGTTTCTTTTTTGCAGTTTTCAAAGGCTTTACCCGCTAATAAGTATTGTGAGCTTCCAAGGGAGAGGACAGCATGCCCAAGCTTTCTTGACCATGGACCACTGACCCAGCAGAACACAGGCAGTCTTCTGCGGCACCAGTGTAGATCACTGAGCCGTGACCCACTGCCCCAGGGCCCCAGCACAATGCATGACAGTTCCCACTCCCCCCAACACACTCCTGGACTGCTCTCCCCCAGGTTCCTGAAGACCTCCCTCAGCCACCCACCCCACCTTGTCCCCACACACCCTGGCCTCCTCCCTACCCCTCTGGGCACCCTGATCATCCCCTCCTTTAGAAGCTTCCCCTGCCAGCAACACCCCTCCTCCATTTCAGCTCCAGAGCACTAAGACTTCAGCTTCATTATCACATGAAAGAAGCCACCCCAGCTGCAGCAGCCAAGGAGCCCTACTTTCACTCCAAGAGGCATTTGATACCTCATCTTCTATGTTCATTTACTGTTCTGGCTGTCTCCCCTGGAACCAGCTCTCCTTCCATATTCAAAAGCTAGTTTGAAAAATCTTTTGGGTTGGCTTGGGGCAGGTTTTGTAGCACCCACAGCATTAGAGTCCTTGCTGATATGTTCACACTTCCTCATGGGCAAGAAAAAGCTATATTCTTCCCTCACTTCTCCCTCTTGTCTCAGGTGCTCTCAGTTGCTGTAGAAGCCAACCCCACAAGGAAGTGGTGGCATGAGTGAGACCCTTAAGACCCTAGAAACACAAGGTCAAGGCCTGCAGGGACATGAACATCTTTCTAGCAAATGTGCTCCCTCCCCCTGACCTTCCCAGCTTGGGGCTCCCTTTAGAGACACACACAGGAAAGTGCTACATTTATTGTTTTCTTTTTTTAATGAAACTAAATCACTGCTTACAAAAACCTGCAAGAGCCCTCACGCCCATCCCCTTCACACTTCCCTTGGCTCAGCCTCTCCCCATCTCCCAGGAACTGAAGCAACTCAATGAACGCCATGAGGGGAGAGGCCCTGGGCTCCAACCAGAGCCTTCACAGGGTGACAGTTCTACCTCCCGTGATCCTTCCTGTCAGGCTGGAGGTGGCATGGATGAGGGTGGTCCCCGCCGCCATGGCTCTCAGGTCACCACCCAGACCAGAGTGAAATGATGTGAATGCCCCGCCCCAGAGACCCCCCCTCCCCCAATAGTCTCTCCCCTTCCTCCCCGCTCCCCCCACCCTAATTCTACCCCTCTACTGAGATGAGGCCCAGCTCCCAGATCCGCAGGGCCAGGGTCTACAGGCTGTAGAACTTGAGGCTCCTGTCCATGCCTGTTGAAGCGATGAACTTGGCGTGGTGCCCAAAGGCCACCCCTGTGGTCAGGCCACTATGCTCTGAGGAGAGAGACAAGAGGCAGTGGTGAGGCTTCCCCAGGTCAGTGCTCAGTGTTTCCTAGTCACCCCGATACCCCCGAGGACAGGGTGCTAGTCTGGCCTACACACCACCTGTGCCCTGGGCCTTACTCAGTTCCCGGCACACAGTAGGCACTCGAGTTCTTGTTGTGGGCTGAGTGAACAGAGGAATGTCAGCGCCCTTCACCTGAGCTTTGCCCCTCATCTGAGCTTTTGGGGCTGCTGCAATTCTGCTCAGTTCAAGTGCTACTAGAACCCACTGGGAGCTGGCAGAGAGAGCGACAGACCAAGCAGACATAGTCTCATTCTTCCACTTCTCACCTTATTTTTAAAAACTTAGCTGAGTTTTCTGTTCAATCTAAAACCTCAATGCTATTATATGTATTTATTTCTACCTCCTTTCTTATAAGTGAGACAGTCTGTCAATAAGTTCTAGCTCAGGGGTTCCGACGGAGGGCACAGGGTAGGGCAGGGCTGGGCTGAGGGCACAAGAGGCTGGGTGACACACCTTCCTGGATTCCGGTAGTCACAAGCAGCAAAGCAAATTCCTTCTAGGTTTAGGATAACACCTGGGGCCCCGACTACAGAACCCAGGCTGTGCTTCCAGCCCACTACCCCGCCTCTCTCAACTCCAAAACACCGGAGCCCAGTGAAGGTCACGATTAGGCCTGGACACCCCTGCAGCATACAAACTGAGCAGGGCTCAGCAGAATGTGGGGGCAGGAGAAGCATACTGGGCCCCGCCCACAACCTGCTAATGAGGATGAGAATTTCATCAACAGAGAACAGCCAACAGCTGCCGTCTGCTTAGCTCTCCAGCGTGCAACAGGCACACTGTCCCTGTGCGTGCCACGTCTATGTCACCAACTGGCACAATCTGCAAAGCAGTATCAATGTGACCATTTAAAAAAAAGGAAGAAGCTACAGCTCTCAGAGGGAAACTCAGGTACCCAGGACCACACAGCTATTAGGTTAGCAGTCCTATCACCCACTGTGCCACCCCTTCTACTTTTCTTCTCCAGCATTCACAACAATTAAATGATTATTTGTAAACCTGTCTCACATCTGCTCCTCTAGGCTGACTGGAAATTCCGTTAGTGCAAGGCCTAGATCTCAGTCATGGCTCCAATCCCACAGGAAAGATGCAATGCTGAATAAGGGCAAATCCCTAATATGTGCCAGGCGCTGTCCTATTTACGTATGTGTTTGTACACACGCATATACACACAGCTACTTCCTCAGGTTACATGTATACACACTAAACAGAGGACTTTGTGTATACATAAACTCATCGAAACCTCCTTAGCACCGCGTGGAATATGCACTATTAGCATTCCCCAGAGAGACTAGGTAACCTGTCCAATGTCACACAACCTGAAGAGGACCTGAAGTGGTAGAGCTAGCATTTAACGCTCAGCAGTATGATTTTGAGTTCATTTTCTTAGTCACTCAACTCAGTTGCCTCAAGTAGTGATGAAAAGCTGCCCAAGCAAACTCACGCCTGCCCCTAGAAATTCCCAGTCCAGTGGTATTTGCCCTCTTTGCTCTGCACCAGGGCATCCGGGACCTGGGGATCCCGGAGTCCAGAAGACCCTACCTGTGAAATGAAGAATCTCTGTCCACTGCTTGCAGATGTAGATCTGGACATCCGTGCCCCCAAGGGCCAGGTAGGTGCCGCTCTGGTCAAAGATCAGTGACTTCACCTGTTGGAACCAGGAGAGGGGTCACATGAGAACAGAAACTACGAGGCAGTCAGGGATCAACAGAGGCAGCTCAGATGATTCGATGAGTACAAATGAAGAGCAGCAGGGGAGGGAGGGGCATACCTCAAAGTTGTTATCCAGCTGCAGCGTCTTGAAGTTTTTAAGCTTGCGCAGATCCCAGAGCTTGACAGAGGAGTCATCAGCCGCTGTAGCCAAGTAGTAGCCATTCTCTGAGAAGGCAATGCTGGTGATGGGGCCCGAGTGGCCGGGGAAGTTGGCCACATTGGTGCGCTCCTGCAGTTTGAGGATGGATAGCACAACATCATCCACTGGTCATGAGAGGGAGAAGATGGCATTCACCAAAAACCTACCTCTGAGCCATCCTCCTCCAGCCTTTATGAAAGGTCAACTAGCAGGAACAGCAGAAGCAGATGGCCAAGCCCGAGAACCCCGGACCACACCTATCACATCACACACACAGCGCCACGGTCTCTCTACCCTTGTGACACCCCCAGGGCCAGGTGCCGTCAGCACATAATCACACTGCATAGTCAAGAACTCAGAGCCTGGGCCTGGGTGGAGGCTCCCATGTCCTACCTTCAAGTCCCAGATCTTGATCTGTGAGTCCATGGTGCCTGTTCCAAAAATGAGTCCATCAGGATGGAACTGCGCACAGGTTAGAGCTGTAGGGGAGGGAGATGGAGTTGTGGTCAGAGCCCACAGGAAAAAGAAGCACAGCGAGAGGTTCCTCGCTCTTCACACAGCGCCCACCCTGACACCTGGCATTCGGGAGGGGCTTACAGTAAGTGTATTTTAAAAGCAAACAAGCAACTGACTAAATAAAACATAAAAATAAATAATATAAATTATAAATATCAAATGATAGAATCCAGCCCCTCTGCAGCAACTTACAACAGCCAGAGGTCTCATCTGTCACCTTCGTGAGCACACGCCCTGTCTGGATGTCAGAGAAGGCCCAATACTGAAAAACACAGAGACAACAGAGCCAATAAGAAAGCGGGTGCCCTTTAGGAAGGCAGGGGCCCTCATTAGGCAAACCCTGGCAAAGCTAGCCCCTGCGAGCAGAGGAATATTCTCCTCTGGGATTCTGGGGAACCAGCTGGTGTTGGTAAGATGTTCCCTCCTCCCAGGATGTTTCTGAGCTTGGAGACCAGCTGGCCTCTACGGGGTGTGGGCTGGGACCACACACCTGGTCATCAGAGGAGCTCAGGAGATAGTCCCCAGTGGCATGGAGGCTGAGGCCTGTCACAGCACTCTCATGGGCCCGAACCACCTGCACACAAGACGCATTCGGGACTGACCAAATCCTGATAGTAGCATCTGGAGAGGCAGAAAACACCAGCTCCTGAAAGGAAAGCAAAGAGGCAGAATATCAAAGGCAGAAGAGATGGACCATAACAATCTTACAAAAGGGAGCCAGGGATGGGCATAACCCCAACAACTGCTTCTCTTTCAGCCCTGTCCTGCCTAAAACCATCCACCCACCTAATGACACCTAAGAGAGCCAACAGTAGGTACTATGTAAAATGGTAAATCAAACAGCATTGGCCTAGATGAGGAGGCCTAACTACCTAGTGGTAAGAAGGACAGCTGTTCCAGACAGCAATTTCCCACACCGTTCCCTGAACAAGAGAGAGGAACATGGCTAGTGCAACTGAGGAACTGATTTTTTTGTTTTAGTTCATTTTACTTTGTTTAAATAGATATATGCAGCTAATGGCTACTGTCAGGGATAGCGTGGGCACTGAACAGCACTGGCCTGGGAAAGGCTGCAAGGGCATACTCCAGTGCCTCCCATACTTCAGCACTGCAAGGGCAAGCTAGTCCTCAGAACAATTTGAGGCAGAGAGAGAACTTACATAGTGTTGCCCACCAAGTATTTGGGTTAGGACATTAAAAACTGTAAGGCGGAACCAACTACCATCTTTCGTCAATAGGATTTCATAAGAGAAATAACCCATTAACACTCAGCAGAAAAGGAGACCTTTCCATTTGAAATACACTTCCTGGCTGACTCAGTCGGGGGGAGCATGTGACCCTTGACCTGGGGGTCATGAGTTCGAGCCCCACGATGAGCACAGAGACTACTTTAAAAGAACATGCAAAAAAATAAATAAGTTTAAAATTTAAAATTATTTATCTATTTCTAATTTCTTTACAGAAAAGGAAAAAGGCTGATTGGGAAGCACATACTCAGGCACTATCCCATAGTCTCAGACCCAAACTGTGCCAGACCTGAAGATTCAAATCCTTTAACAGTAATCTCATCTAATGAGCAGCCCTTGCCCCTAAGCCAGCACTTCTCCATCTATTGTAGCCCACACCACTTTCAACAGTCAACAGTCATCATCAAGTCCCCCCACCAACCCCAGAGGACTATGGGAATGTGGACAAACCCGTCCTTCCTGGGTATGCTAAGATTTTGCTGAGCTTTGTTTTCCAGTTTGTACCACAGACACTGTAGGGTTTTTCCTTTTCCTAACACAAAACATGTCTATGAATTTTGCTTATTCAAGCTCTCTGCCCCTTGATGTGAAGGCCACTGCTTTAGGAGGACTACACAGAGTATAGGGCATCCCCGACTGCAAACAAAGGCCCAGTGCCCACTATGGAGGCTCAGCACTCTTTCGAGTCCAATTCACTTCACCAAGGACACAGTGGGGGGCACCAGATGACTGGGTCCTTGACACTAAACTGCTGACACAAGGCTCAGGAATGAAGAACGCAGGGTGACTGGCAGAACCCTTTACCTGGGAAGGGTGAAACACCACACTGGTGACTTTCTTGGTATGGCCTTTAAGGGTGGCCAGGATTTGCTCGGAACTCTTGTCGAAGACAACAACATTTTTATCGGCCCCACCTAGAAAGGACCCAAATGATACCCCAAAATGAGTCATGCCCACCTGGGTCCCTCTGCTGGAGAAGGTACTTTGTCCCCAGGACATGCAGAGGACAGGAGCATGCACCTTCCCTGCTGCCCTCCCCGCCTTGGCCTGCTTGGCCCGGCCGGCTCTCACCAGTAAGGATCTTGTTGGTGTCAGCAGGGCAGAGGTCCAGGGCGAGGATCCCAGGAATGCTGGCACTGTGCAAGCCCTGAGCAGAGGGCGCAACATCAAATCCAGACATAGCTGAATCCAGGCCGGCCATAAAGCCACACACCCTCCCCATGCCACCCCCAGCCTCAGGGAACAAGAGTGACTGCTGTTCTTCATCCACAGCACCTGGCCTTCTGCCTGGGTGCAGTGCCGTCCTCGCTGCATTGCTGGGAAAGCCAGTACCAAGCAAGAAGAACAGCCTTGAGAACTCTGCAGCTGGGGCCAGAAGCAGGGTTGGGGCCCATGAGCTGCTCCCCACACCGGCAGCCAGGCCCAGACACCATCCCCAACACTGCAGGACACATCCTGCCGCCCAATCAGCGGGGATCTGGCCACTTACCACGTGGGATGCCACCTGCCGGTATTTGCTTAGCTCCTCCGGCTTCACCAGCTCTTCGGGTACCGTCTTCCCTCTCTGAGAAAAAACAAATGCACCACACCCCCAACCAGAGCGGCAGTGAGTGCAGGATTCAATGACACCCCCTCTTGCCCCAAAGGTGGCAGCCACCTACCCCACCCGCCGCTAGTGCCCCAGGCTCCAGGAGAGCTCACCTTCTTACGCTCCGTGGTGAGCACAGTGGCCTTGTCTTGAAGCTGGACAAGAGAGAGGAGTGGACGCAACATGAGGCAAGTTCTTTTGCCAGGACAGCAGCATGCTGGATGCTGGTCACATCCCCAAGAGTCACCTGCACTTGTGATCTGCCAGGCTCTGTGCTAAGGGCTAGTGCATTTCCTCTTCTTATTCTCACCCCAACCCGATGACAGGGTGCTGCTGGCCCTACTTCACAGAGGAGGACACTGGACCTGAGGGGAGTGAAGTCACTGGCCCAAGGCCTCAGACGTGACAAACAGCACAGTGAGCACTTCAAGTAGCACTGTGGTGCTACCAGACCAAGTCTATACCACCAAGAGAGAGGACATGCAGTCAGAGTATGGACCAGACACAAGTTCTGTGAGTGCAACACAGCACTGGCCCTGATATCTGGCCTGCTCTGCCTTCTGTGACCTGTACCTTTGAATCTTAGTGTCAGTTCTTTATCTGTAAACTAAAAATGGTTAATTCACCTTCTGTCTCCATCAGAGGAAAAAAAAAAAAAAAGTAAAAATGTAACCAGTGTTTTATGATATGCAAAGAACCCCAATAGCCCGGTAACAGTAAGAGCTACAAGTTGCACTTATCGGTAATCACCATCTTTTAAATTCCCATAGATCTACAAAGCAGACACTGTTTTTCTCAATGTAAAAAAAAAAAAGGAAAATGAGATACAGACTTGGTTAAGTCAGCCCAAGGTCATAAAGCTTCTAAGCAGTGATATAGAAGCATGAACTTGGGCAGTGTGGCCTGAGTCTGTGCGCTGCACTGCTCTGCTGGGAGTACCACATGGGTGGGATTTCTATTCATACTGGATTCAAGGCAGATGGTGAGACATGAGGGCCCACCAGCATTCCCACCAAGTGACTTGCCACAACTTACCTTCTGGATAATCTCGGGGGTCATTCCCACCAGCTCACCCAAATCCATCGGCTCACCTGCACCCTGAAGACAAGAAGGTTAAAGGTGAGGGAGGCACAGAACACCCAGGACACTTGCAGGAGAGCCACATGAGACACTGCACACAGGGGCTGCAAGACAGGCAGGAAGGGGGAGGTGCACTCACTGCAACACTTGGCTGTGAGCTCGGCACAGCCTGGGGCACGATGAGTCCAGCCTGTGGTTTCAGGGTGGCCAGAGCTGAGAGAAAAGAATACATTAAAAATGGGGTATTACAAAGCAGGACCAGCCCAGAGTGGGGGATGTTGGGGCATAGGTGGCACCTTCTCGGGCGGCTGTAACTTCCTTAGTGAGCCGGGCAATAACACGGCAGGCAGCATCATGCTGGTACAGAGCGTGGGACAGCTCTTGACGGGTTGTCTGCAGCTGCTGGCGCAGAGTGAAGCTGTGCAGCATGACTGCATCCTGAAGAAGGGAAACGCCACTGTGAGGGGGTGAGGAGGAGCAGGGAACACCCAGCAGAAGAGTCAGCCCTTGATCAAGAGATGAAGAGGACACTGCCCTGTATTCCCACAGCCTAGGCCAGTACCGGTAACCCAAACAACACGTGAGGGACCATGAATGTGCTGGTGGCCACTCTGGAGCTGCTACCTCATACCAAATACTGGGCACAGACAGGAGTGGGAGCCAGCTCTTTCCCACCCTCATCGCCTCTGATTTACAGGCAAATCTCAATGTCATTCCGTCACCTCCCCACAAGGGAATAACAACACTAAGGCTGCCATTAATCAAGGCCCTCGCTGTGTCGGGTACTGTGCGAGACGACCACTCAAGATGTAGTCACTCATTCATCTTCCAGAGCACCACTACATACCAGGTGCTACCCTTGGTGCTGGGGATATACCAATTAATAAATCAAATCCCTGATATCGCAAGGTTTATACTCTACCTTTATTCTAATTCTGTCCACACCCTGAGAGACTGGCACAAATCCTTGTCCTAGAGTCAGGAAAACCAGGACTCACATATGAGCAATATGCCCAAGGGTATGTGGCAAGGGAGCAAGGGAGCTAAGCGTGGAACCCAGATCTGTGGGACTTCAACAACCAGGCTCCTCCTCCACTATCATCCTGCCCCTCAAAAAAAAAAAAAAAATAATAATAATAATACTTCGTCTTCCCCACCCCAAGTCCTAGTGCAGTGATCCCTTCTCTTCAAGCAGACAAACATCAGTTCTGTTCCAGGGACTCACCCACTCATCCTGCAAGGCTTTCAGAATGGCTGGGATGCTGGTTGCAGAGGGAGGCTTGGGCCGGATTGGGTGAGCAACTGCCAAGAGAGGGAGAGCAGGTATGAAGAACTCTAACCCGGGGACTCCTCGTCTCCCCCATCTCTTTCCCCTTTAGCCTACATTAACAGAACACCATCTCCTCCTCCAGTGCACTGGTACCACCTCCCAGCCTCTCAAGCTCTGAGCAAAAACAGCCCTGGATGGAGGCCAGCCACCAAGGCACCTTTGATATCGATGAGCTGCTCCTCAGACAGAGGCTGGTTGTTGATGGGGTCTGTGCCATTCTCCGCAATATACTTCTCAATGAGCCGCCGCTCGTACACATGATTAGAGACAGGGGACACACACGGGTGCTCTGGCACTTCATTGGAGACTGTGGAGAAAAGGCAGGCGGTGAGCGCGGGGTGGTGAAAGGGACCCTGGGGCAAGGCGATACCTCACAGGCTACTGGCCCCAACAAAACCGCATGTCCCCACTTTCAACTAACAGAGCGCAGGCCATGACACTACTTTTGTAGTATCCCCAGCATCCTTTCAGCTACATGACTAGCTTCTCCATCATTCTCCCGGCAGGTAGTCAACCAACAATCACCACACAACTGCTACATGCCACACATCTACAGAGGGGTCAATCATCAATCCCCACCCATCTCCGTTTGGAATAAGATGCCCCGGCACCCATCATACTCTAAGACACAGAGATACACATGGCTACTCAAGTCTCAGTCTAGAGCCAAGATGGGTTATCAGACAAAAAAAAAATCGCAAAGCACTGTGACAAGTGCCACATTGAGAAGAGACACTTATATGGTGCTTATCAGGTGCCAAGCAGGATTGTAGACATTTTCTATAGACTGACTCATCCTCACAGCAACCCCCGACACACCTGCCTCAGTAGACTACGCACCTCTGAGGACAGGGGTTGCAGCTGGTCTGACCTCCAGTGCACTGCAGATGCCCAGCAGGCACCCAGTAAACATCCAACGGAAACATCAAATAAAAGGAAGAATGGTGCTGGGAATAGGGGGAAAAAACTTCCTCGAGACTGAAAGAAAACAATGAACGTGGAGTATTTTGCAAGCTGTGGCTTCTTCACTATGGAAGATTCCTTTTTCTGGCCCTCATTTCCCTTCCTTGCCTTCTCCCTCCCTTTGGACTCCCAGAGAGGTTCCGCGGGGAGCGCAGGGCTCGCGAGCTGGAAGCAAACCCGAAAGGGATGTTCCGGTAACCTGATGGCGCAGTGAGCCTGGAAACACACCCGCGTGCCGCACTAAAGTGCCGAAGGGGAACGCGGCACAAGGCAGGAAAAAAAAACAGCGTCCAGGTCGGACAAACTAGCCCCACCACCCAGCTCTGCCACACTCTCCTCCAGCCCCACACCCTCGTCTGGAAAACCCTGCTCTCCATTTCTGCTCTGGAGAAGTCCTGCAAGGATGAAACGGGATCGGGCCTGGCGCCACAACCAAGGGCTTCAGGGACGGGCGCGGTTCGGGAGCCGCGCAGGGTGAGGCCCAGGGACCTGGGTCCGGCCCCGGCACTGCCTCTAACTCGCTGTGTGACGGTCGCAGACTGCAGACTCTCCGCCCGCCCCCCGCCCCGAGCGGGACCGCAGACGTCATCCAGCGATGCCCTCTCTTTGCAGATGTGGAAACTGAGGCCCAGAGCCCGCATCGGATCACAAAGCCAATCGGGGGGCGGGGGGGGGGGGCGGGGATCCTGGCCCGATTCCCCAGCACCGCTGCTTCCCTGCACCAGCTCCCTCCCCCCAGGCCCCGGTTCGAGGCGCAAACGAGGTCCTCGGGCTCGGTGACGTCTGCGACAATGAACTCGAGGCGTCACGTAAACTGGGAAGCGCGGCGCGAACGCCTCCCACGCCGCGGAGGAGGGCCGCGGTGCTGACAGGCCGCCGCCCTGCCCCCGGAGCCCTGGGAGTGCCTCCGCCCCGACCCCGGCGCCGCAGCGGCCCGAAGCTCCTCCCGCTCCGCGCTCAGGCCCCCGGCGACCCGCGACCGGCCGCAGCCCACACTCACTCGAGCAGATCAGGGACATGGCGCCGCCGCAGCGCTCCCAGGCGCCTCACGCCGGCCTCGGGGGTTCGCTTCTGCGCCGCCGCGGGCCGCTTCCGGTTCCCCGCTGCTTCCGGGACGCTCCGCGGCGAGCGGGGAGCGACCCCGCCGAGCGGCGCTCGCGTAGCGCTTCACGTGGGAATGCGGTCGGTGGCGCGCCTCAGCCTCCAGCACCTAACGGAAATTGCCCTTCCCCAGAATGCAACCGGGCAGGAAAGGGCCCGCCAGGGAACCTTCGGCCATTTCCGGACCGACTCGGCGCCTTCCGTAAAGCGCTCCCGGGGGCTGGCGCAGAGGAGTTTCCAAACTACATTTCCCATGATGCAGTGGGATTTAAAGCCAACGTACGGAGCAACGTCTTTTTGAGACCCGGGCTTGCGCTGCTCGTGGGACCCTCTTCTTGCAAACTTTGGAGTGTATGAGAACTTCCTAACGAACTTGTTAAAGTGCATCTTCCTGGGAGCCTGCATTCGAGAGTCTGCATTTTCAGCGCGTGCCCCACGTGATTCTGAGGCAGGTGTATCTCCGACTACCCTCTGAGAGACACTGTTAGGTGACCGGTGGAAAAAGCCCAGATCCAGATGGGGAGAGAAACTAGCATTGAGGAAGAAACTGTTCTGGTCCTGCCTCCACTGCCGATTTGCGCAGTGATTATGGGCAAGTCATCACCTTCTCTACCCCTTTCCTACGTGACTGCCAGGCCCCTTCCAGCTCAGATCTGTGGGATTCTAAGTGGCCATCTATAAGATGCGCTCAGGAATCACGTACAGAACGCATGGTGTGGGCTATGAAGGATCCAGACAAAGCAGGACAGCCAGGTGTGATCAGTGAAATCTTCTCGGCTGAAGAGGGGTGAACAAGCTTGATTTTGACAGATGGGTAATATTCAGATAGAAGAGGGGAACAGAGAGCATACCAAGAGGAGAAAGCGTGAGCAAAGGCTCAAAGAGAATAAAAGTTGCAGCTACGAAGGGCAATATGACACAGCAGCCAAGAGCATGGGCTCTGAAGTCAGATTGCATGTGCTGTACTACCCAGCTAGTAAACTGTGTGAACTTCTCTGCCTTAATTTCCTTAATTTCCTCATCTGCAAAATAAGGGGGAATGATAAGAAAGGTTGAACTAGCTCAAAGGTTGTTGCGAGGCGTCAAATATTTAAAACGTGCTTTGGGGAGGGCACCAAGGTGGCTCAGTCATTTCAGCATCAGACTCGATCTCAGTTCAGGTCTCGATCTTAAGGCTGTGAGTTCAAGCCCTGCGTTGAGCTCACGCCGCTGGGCATGAAGCCTGAAGCCTACCTAAAAACAGATAAAATAATGTAAAATAAATAGAAGGTGCTTTGGACTTTGCCTGGCAGAGAGTACGATATACATTTTGGTGTTTGTTATCATTATCCCCGAATCCAAGCAAGGTTGTTCAAACTATGATTCTCTCTCCTGGGCAGCAGTAAAATAGCATCCTAATTGGTCCTGCTTCCAGCCTAGCTTTATAATCCACCTTTTTCAGAACAGCTAGTGATCCACTTTCCAGGAAAAATCTATTTCTGCTACTCTCCAGGCTTTTCATTCATTCAACAAATATTGATTGGGTGCCTCCTAAGTGCCAGACTCTGCTCTGATAATTGAAGGTACAAATGGTGAACGAGGTTTCTGTTCTCTTGGAGCTTACGTTCTTTTATTAAGGCCACTCTCTGCAGGTGGCAGAGACAACCAACACATAAGAAAATTCCAGAGAGTGGTAGGTAGGTGCTAAGAATAAAACAAATAAGAGAAAGACGGATAGGAGGTGATATGGATGGGAGAGATGGGCTGCTTTAAGCTGGGTATTCAGGGAGGGCATCACTGAGGAGGTGAAATTTTTTTCTGAGACCTGAATGAGGGAGAGTGTTTCTGGCAGAGAAAACTTGCTCCCAAGTCCTGCACCATATAGCTCATACTGACCTCCATCACTTGGCCACTTGGCTTTATCTTCCCTCCAGCCACACTAGCTATTTAAGTCCTCAAACTTAGCCCTTCTGGCTGGTTCTGCTACTTGGCCTGGCACACCTTCCTACTCTCTCCTCCCCTCTATTCCTTCCAAAGTAAACTTAGATCTCCTCTTAAATGGCACTTCCTCTGGAGCCTTTTTCTTGACCCCTGAGTGAAGTTTAGTCCCTACAGCACCCTGTAATTCTCTTCCAGGTCATTCTGGTAGCTATAATCATTTAAGTATTTCATTGTTTACAAGTATCTGTTTGATATCTGCGTCTTCTAGACTGTAAACTCTGTGATAGCAGAACCATCATTGTTCTGGTCTGTTATTCCTCAGAGCCTAACCAGCACCTGGCACACAGCAGGTACTTCATAGCTATTGTTGGTTGAATGAAAGGCTGCACAACAGGCCAAGCATCTTGAATATTGAGATGTGATAGGAAATAAGATGGATCCATTTAATCAGGGCCTTGAACCAGAGGTGATTAGACCCAATTGGGCTGGCAGTAGAAAAGCAGCTGAGCTATGGGATCATAGCTACACTTCCAAAAGATTCCTCTGGAAGTCACTTACTGGATGGGTTGGAGGAGGATAGCCAGGAATCCATTAGTTGGACAAATCCTTACTGAGTACTCCTGTGTGCTGGTCAGGCAATGTACTAGGCATTAGAGATTCCACTGTGAGCAAAAGCAGAGATGTCCCTATTCTGGGGAGCTTATGAAGTGACTGAAGAATGGAAAAATCAGGAAGTCCATTCAAGGCTTGTGAATTTCAAAGGCCAGCCCCTCAAGGATAGAAAGGATACAGGGAAATCAATTTTTGGGTAAATATTACGGATAAGAACTTGATCTCAGTGTCCTCTTCACTCCCCTGAATCTCAAACTCCCACAGGGGAGATAAAGATCCCTTAGGCAGGAAAGGAAGACATAGTAAATATGGGATATATGCATATTTGTAGGCTAGATCCTGAGAAAGGAACTCTATGCCTTGCTCCTTCAGCCAAGGCTGCTGCTACTCGGGAATTAAGGGGACATATTGGCCAGGAGCCCAGGAGAAGCTCCATTTCCCAGGTAGATTTAGTGGCAACCTGTGTGGACAAGTAGCAGAAGAGTAGGCAAGACAAGGCGGCTCAACTGACGATGAAGATTAGTGACTCTTTTTGGCCTCATGTTAATTTTCCAAACACTGTGCACACTCTGAAAACCAAGGTGGGAAGAACCCCGAACTGTCTGAGATTATCTCTACTACTCAGATGGAAGAGAGTTAAAAAGAAAATGACTTGCCATAGTGGGGAGATTGGGGAGATATGGAAGTGGGGTGGAGGGAGTTGCATTTCTTGCACAGGAGTCTGTGACCTGAGAGTGGTAGTCCTACAAATCAGAAACATCTCACAAACACACGTAAATTTGCAACTGTTAGGAAAGCTGCAACTATTAGAAAAGGTAGAAGGTGAGACCCCGGATGCTGGGAGAAAGAGACCGTTGGCTTAGGCAGGAAGATGGACGCACCTGAAGAACATTTAAAGGAAAGAAGCAACTGGAGGAGGCGAGGGGCTGCTTGGTGCACAGTTGTGGAGTCTGGGAAAAAGGCACAATTAGAAGGCTGATCCAGGGAGGATGGGAAAAAAGAATTCTGACTTAGAGCGCTGAGTTTCAGTAACTGTTTTAACATCTAAGAGAAGATTTCCTGTGGCGCCCATGTGAGAGAGGTATTCGGACAGCAACTTGGATTTTTTTTTTTTTTAATGTTCACTCTTCTTACTTGATTGAATCTTCACACCCTACTGTGAAGTGAAGTGGTATTTTAGGGCTGTATAGTAAAGTTGAAAAGCTGAGATCAAGAGGGATGAAGCAACGTGCCTAGAATCACAAAGCAGGCAAGAGATCACCTCATTCCAAACCCCTGGTTTCTGGAATTCCAAACCCAACGATCTTGCCTTTTTTTTTTTTTTTTTTTTTTAGAAATGGGGTCTGGGAGTTGGTTCCTTTCCTTCTCTAAAATTTAGTAAACATTTGGGAGCCATTTGCAGGGTTCGAGGTGGATGCAACTTCTCAGTACTGGTGCCTCTTACCGCTCCTCTAACACCTTTTTCCTCTGTGCCTTTTTAGGGCCAAAGTGCCTCAAACGACTGGGTACCTCTTGGTTAGAACTACACTTCCCACAATGCCCCAGGAGGCGCTGCCTGGCTCCAGACTACACCGCCCGGAACGCTGAGGGATCGGAGAAACGGGTGGACTTCGACTCCGAATTTCAAAGATCCCGTTTTTTGACTCCGCAGCCCGCAGAGAGTCCCGTCTCCTCCTTTTCCAGCCAGAGACTTCCGTTCCCAGCTCCGACTTCCGATCCAGCTCTTTCTCGGCGGGAACGCTCCGGTAGTGGGGGGCAAACGGGGGCACGGGGTCGCGCGCATGCGCCCACGGCACAGCGTTTGGGCGGGGAGAGAAGCGGTCGGTCTCCCGGCTCATCCCGCCTCGCGCGTGCGCAGACGGTGAACCCACGCCCGGAGTTGAGGCGCGGGTTAGCTGCGGCGTTTTAACCGAGTCGCACGTGAGGGGCAGTCGTGGTCGGAGCCCGGTGAGTGCCGGTGGAGACGGGTTCAGGGGCAGGACGCGGGGCGGGGAGGCGGCAGCCGCCGCTAGTGGGAGCAGGACGGGGCCGCGAGGCCGGCGAGCACGCCCGGGGAGGGGTCCGACGGCGCCCGGCGGGGGAAACCCACTGCGGCCCCGGATCCTGGTTGCTATGCAACAGGGAGAGTCGTTACTAGGTGACGCGAGGCGCGCGCTTCCGGGGTGAAAAGGGCTCCGAGCGCCGCTCCGAGGTCCGGCCTCGGCCGGGCGGGCGGCTGGCGGGCTGGGGTGCGGAGCTAGCGCTGAGCCCCTCGCTCCTGCCCCACGGCCCAGCGGGGAGTCCCCGGGGCCTCGCTCTGAGCCTCTCGAGGCACCACCCCGAGCCCCCGGGCCGCGCCGCGTCCCTCGCCAGCGACGCCACCCAGCAGAGCTTGGCAGGGGACTTGCTGTCCGAAATAGCACATGCCCCTGACACCCTGTCTGCGGGGGGCTGGGCCCCGGGGAGGAAGCCGCCCCTGCGCCCGTGGCCCTGCGCCCGTGGCCCTGCGCCCGTGGCCCTGCCCCCAAGCAGTTGCTGGGCAGCAGCTGTCAGGGGTTTGGCGGGGGCTGCCCCCACCTGCCGGGACGCTGACTTCATTTCCCGGAGTGGTAGCTTCG